TAATCTTTGTCACGATAAATACATATTTGTATTTATGAGTATAAATTTATCGTTACAAAAATGATCTATAAGATTATTTATAACTATACATAATGATATAAAGTCTAAACATATGTTATGGAAGAAAATTGCATCAGCCATTCGACTTTTGTGAATCTATGGTTGATATTACTGTTAAAGCGACAGGATAATGTTGTTCAAAATAATCGGCAAATTTATACTGGTTATGTTGTTCATTGACTCTTTGTATAATGTCCCATCTCTTGCATAACTTCAATTTCAAAGCTTCAGGGAAAGCTTCAGAATAATATAAATTAATGGCATTTTGAGAAATTTGTGGTAATAGAGTTTCAATAGGCACTAAAACATTTATTTTTTTGTATAATCGAATTGCATCTATATTCATCGCCACGAGACATGTTAAAGGGACGGTGCCTCTAATTTAGGGAGAACTGAAGGAATCACGTTGCAAAAAATCATTCTTTTCGATACGCTAGATGTTAAGGAGTCCATAAATATACAAAAGTCTGAAGAACATGGTATTTTTGTTGCTGCATAAGTACATGCCAAGGCTATGCTTGGAAAGGAATATAGTACGTGAGTACAGGTAATCGCAAAAGGCGAAATCTGTTTTATCTCGCTGTCGAACACAATATTGTATTTGTCCCGCATCATATCAATTAAATGATTAAATCAATTAAGAGCGGCAGTGTGGCTCAGTGGTAGAGCGCCAGACTCGTAACTCGCAGATCGCGGGTTCGAGTCCACTGACAGTCATGTATAAACATGGAATATTTTTCTGCGCTGCGCTCACCACCGGGATCGGGAATTATCTCGGTGGGAAAACCTGGGCTCACGTCTTTCGGAAGAGACGCTAAACAGTGGGTCCAACGGTTAGAGAAAGAGGAGGAAAGGATAAGGTTGGAGAAGTAATCTGTAAACCTCGAGGGAACACAGTAAAGATTCCATTTATCCATCATTCATTCATCCATTCATATCAATTAAATGGTTTATTCCTGGGAAATTGAAAATGTTCTCTTGACGAGTTAGATCTTCTGGAGGAATCTATTCTCGTCAGTGTCCCGAACTGTAGTCCGAGACGAGTTATCAAGTATATGAAGAGTTTACATGCAAGAACTCATTCAAGATCTTGTCCTTATTATAGAAATATCCATTATAATTACAATATGAGAAGTATAAATTATAAGTATACGCTTGAGTATAGGTTTACTGATAATATGCCTCTCGTCAAGGATATCATGTAAATCTCGAGGAGACACAGTAAAGATTCCATTTATCCATCATCCAAACAACTTAATTAAGCTACAATAGAATGATACATGCGAGAACGGTATATATTTTTAAAATAGATACAATTATTTTTTTTTCGAAATATATGAGACATGCGTTTCAAAAAATCAATAATAAGAGCACTTTCACATACATACTTGATATTATTGTTTCGCAGAAATTGAAAAAATTTCTTTGATTCCGGAAAGTGTGTGAGCTTCTTTGCGAGGCATAACTTCTTCTAACATTAACACTTAGAAATGTATCAGATAATAAAATGTTGGCAAAAAAAAACGAAAATACAAGGTTTAACCTCAAAGGTTTATAAACAAATATATAAACATAGGTCTATAAACATAGATATAAAATACATTTATACATATGATATACATAGATTATACATATAATAAACACAATATAATTTTACACAATTTAATATTTAATATTTATAAGCACTAATATAAATAATAAATATATATATATATATATATATATATATATATTTGTGTATAAACAAATAATCATGCATAATTTATACACTATTTAACAATTTAATTAAATTTAATTATTTTTTAGAGAAAAATTTAAAACTTATATCTCTTAAATTTGTCATACACATATACATATAATTTTTAAATTAATATTTATAAGCATATGAATGAAAACTAAATAAGTGGTTCTTAGTTTTTTAATCTATTTAATATATGTATATACATTTTAAGTGTCTTAATTATATATATCAAAAAATTTAGGAGATAAGTTTTAAATTTTACTCTAAAAAATAATTAAATTTAATTAAACTGTTAAATAGTGCATGTATAACTTATGCATAATTTTTTGTTTTGGAAGTTCAAAATTAGTATCAAATAGTATTTTAAATTGAAACAAAGGGTACATATTTTCTTCCTTTGTTTAATGTTGCTTGAGAATAAAATTAAACGTTTATATAGGGATATGTTTATATATTTTTTTATTGTAATTTCTTGTAGAAGATACTGGAAAAATAATTGTTAAACTATGGGACATTTTGCACACACACATAAACGCAGAAGAAATTTGGAGCGAAATCGACAAACAATGTGTTCAGAAAATCTAAGTAAAATGATAAAAAATAAATATAAAATGGATTATTAAAGAGAATTATGAGTAAAATATAAAGTTTGAATATAAATATGTAACTCTGCCTTATTAACATTTTTCAATATTTTATTAAAGCTGAATAACTTTAAGAGATTTAAATAAATTTTCTATAGAAAAGATTTCTATTTCTTCGCACTTTTAGTACGTGATTACTTCATAGCTTTAAAATAATTTATTTTTGAACAGTATTAAAAGTTCAAATTATTTCTTTAAATATGTCTGACAACGTCGCAATCTTTAAGTCTTTATACTTCAATAACTATTAGTGATTCTAATATATATTAAATTATATATATAGCTATATATCTTTTAAATATTAACATACAAAAATTCGAAATATTTTAAACTGAAAAATAAATACATTTAATGTTTTAATAATTGAAATATGATAAAAGTTACCGATTATTTTCGAAATGAATAAAACTATTTAGTGGTCGAATAAATTGTCGGTACTATCAACTATTTTAGTTACATTTAGATGAGGGAATTGATTCGTTTGTTTATGATTTTTTCACGTATAATGGTCTTTATACGCGATTACACATGATTCTATATAATATTTACATAAGAAATATCTTGTTACATAAAATTAAAATCGTTAATTTAAAAAAGCTCTAATTGCATGTAATTTATTACACAGCAACATTATTTGTTAATAGCTATTAATGATTTTTTTGTAGTTCTTGAATATTATTGTAATAAAGTATATGATAATAAAATATATATATGATAATATATATAAGTCTATAAATAGTCTATAAATAAATATAAAAATATATTTAATACTTGAACAATAAAGACATGATTGTAAATATTATTTCATATTGTTCTGATTACATCCTCATATTTTGATTAGACATTACATAAGATATATTTAAGTGTTGATAAGCTTTAATTATGTATTTATTATATAGTAACATTATTTGTTAATAGTGATTTGTTGAAGACTTCAAATAATAAATGTGATGAAAAGAGAGAGAGAGAGAGTTAATCAGTAATAGTACTCAATTTATAAATAAATGTAGAAATATATTTAGCACTTGAATAATAAAGACATGATTGTAAATATTATTTTATATTTCTGTAATTACATTCTCATTTTGATAAGAGATCATATATCATAGCAAAATTATTAACAAATAATGATAATGATTAAACATAAAATTTACCTTATGTAATTATAAGCCTTTAGATTGAGATGATGTGTTGTTTCTTTTCTTTTTATGTTTTTACAAATATATATGGTACTGTGCGCATTATTACATATGCGATTACATTCACAGAGAGAAATGGAGTAATAATAATGAAATATATGCATGTGTCAAAATTTATACTTGTTAACTTATATATTAGCGTCAAGCATTTTTATAACAATTTTTTCTTTATTTTATATCATTACATTAAATTTTATATTGCATATAAATTTTGTGCACAGCCTTCATTTGCATAATATTTTAGATTTTTATTTACTTTATTTCAAATAAACGGATAAATTTAATGCTTTTAATTTAATTTTAAAAATATTAAAAAATTATAAAGTGCCTCCAAGTACAAATGCCAAAATTTTGTGTTGTAAATGCGATTGTAATTACAGAAAGATAGTTTTAGGCAAATGATGGATAGTGCACAGTGATATTTTGTTATACAAGCACACTCTATAACATTCGACATATGCACAACTTGAGTAGAAAAAATATCTATAACAGATACATTATCTATCCTCCTTATATAAAACTATTATTATACAATATTAATTTGCATTTTATTTATTTACGGCTTGGTGAGTCGGCAAGTCAATATTTACTCTCAATATTTTTTCTCGTTATGATCTATTTTTTTTTACCTCGCTCAAATAAAGAGTCTCCTTCGATATATATTTCCAGCTTCTACCAATCTACTAACCGATTTAACCAACTTCTAACAATCTGTACTGCACACACAATCTATATAAATTTGCGCAGAATAGAAATGTTTTTTTTTTTTTTTTTAATTGGTAGGGGGTATTTTCACAACGAAACACTCGGTGAATCATTCGCATTTCATTGTTTATGCAATTATGTCCCAGAACGGACACTCTTCAATTGTACAATTTGTAAGTTAAACGTTATTATAATATAGTTCTCATAGCTGGACACAGAATACAAAATTGGCTAATCTAGAAAAAGTAGTATTAAAGTGAATCGTACTTTGTGCAAATATTTAGATGTTATATTATTCATTAAATTTAAATTAATATTATTTAAAATTATATATATGTATGTGTGTGTACACATTTTATATACAAGGTGTGTTAATTAAATTTGATTAATTAATTTCTTCTCTGTGAAAAGTCCTTCAGGACCTTTCAACTTATCGTTTGATTATTTAATTATCAAGAATTAATAAACATCCCGTGTATACTAAAATAAAGTGATACATTCTATACAATTTTATAATTTTAATTATATACGAAAAAGCGAAAATATATATTTTAATATATATTTCGAATTTATACGATTCACTTCTTTTAGCTTAGCCAATCCAAATGTTCCACAGAAAACTATCACACAAAATTGTTATATATAAAATCGTTAGTTCAAAGTTTGTAATGCATTACAATTTGTAAGTAATTGTCATATGAATAATTAACAATCTATAAATAGTAATAATACCATGGTCCACATTAAAAGATATTCCGATACAACTTAAATATTGAGACATAATATATGATATATCATATATAATGTTTTGACATAATATATGATAGTTTGATTTTCGGCTTGGATAAAGGTACATAGAAAGGTAGAAAGGAAAAAAGATGTGGATACGTATCAAATGGCAAAACTTGATTGGATTGATACTTCCATCGGATAAATGAAGTTCATAGGTAGAAAAAAGATAAGTTGATGGATGCATATCAGATAGTTGCTGATAGCAAGAACATAACAATGCAAAACACTGTTGCGTCTTACAATTTATCAATGCAATATCTAAATGTAGATATATGATTATATTAATTTAGTGATTTGTTTTTAAAAGTGTCCAGCCTTAAATTTTTTTTACTTAAACCACTAAATAAAAATATTGTAGTAGTGCATGATGTCAATAAGTCATGGTATGTATTAGAATGACAGTGTTAGGCCTTAGCATCGACTTCCATAGCAACGTCTACAGCTTTTTCAGCCTTCTTTTTCTTCTTTTTCGCAGACTTCGGATTTGCCGAAGAGTACAAAAGATTCTGAAATTTTTAATTATGATTAATATAATAATAGAAAATTGTGTTGTATTTTTATTTTCCTTATTATAATGTTTTACCTTCAACTCAGGATCGTCCACGACACAGTCAGACTGATAAATATCAAGATCAAAGGGAATTCCTGTAATTTTATGGGGTCCATTAGGCATCAAGAGTACCGTAAATTTAAATTGTGCAGCATATTCGTTTGGTTTTTCGTATAACACCTGCATTAAGAAAAAGTGATGTTAGAACCTTCCTCAAAATTGTGATAATTAATTGTCAAACAGCAGATTGTGTAATAGTATCATATATACAGTAGATAGTAAGTAAATGTCGCGATCCATAAAGGTTTCTCTTTTATACATGTCACAGAATAAATTTTTACAATATAAAATTTTATAATGGATGTGTTTTAATTATATATATAGATATATTTTATATAAAATTATTTTATAATATAAAAATTATAAACTATTATTTCATAATATAAAATTATAGTTTATAAAATTTAATATTATATTCTTAAATATATTTTTTCTCTCTTTAAAAGTACTTTTTATATGATAGTTAAAAGAAAAATGTTAAAAAAAATAAAAAAAATTGTGATCTATAAAAAAAATATACAAAATATATTTGTTTCTATTTTATCATATAGATTCTCGATAGGGAGATTAATATATTAGTGTATATAAATGTTCTTACTTGGAATGGCTCAATCAACCTATGATTTACACATTCTACAACGGCCATTTTCGCTTTCTTCTCGTCTTCGAAGGTGCGTAAGTTGAATGGCATGAGTCCGTGTTTGTGGGAGACTTCCGAATAGAACATACGAGACGCCTTCAATTTAAGTTGATATGTCTCCTCTGTCTTTTTATATATTGTGACTCGAGTATCCTGTTCCCTTCCTATCCCTTCACCTGTGCTAACCAGTACGTCCATTGCATATACCTGAAATTAAATATATAAAATATTAATATATAATATATATAATTTTTAGCTTATTTTCCGAAAATAAATATAAATAATGATAATAAAGCCAATGTGTGAATTATTGAACACTGGTGCACATAGAACAAGATATTTCTATTTTTTTTATAATACTTGAATCTTTTGCAGTCCCGAGAGAAGACAAATATTACAAAAAGTATACTATATTTTTTAGTATGTACACCAATACATCGAGCTTCTATTGACCTTATTATACATATATTTTATTTTACAAATAATTTTTAGTTTACTTATTTATCACTTTGAACTATATTTCAAGTGCATATTTTCACCTCATGAGTTTCAAGCGTGTACTTTTCGTGTTCTTTCTTTTGTGCATCATTCGGATTCTGAATTATCGTTTTTTCCCCATCAATCTTAAATTGCTTTAACTGATGACTTAACATGCCCTCAATCGGCTTACATTTATAAGCGTCACATATTTTTTCCACTGTGCCTGTTATTGTGTACGTCTGAAATAATAACGAATAAAAAATTTGTTTATAATTTAGTTTTTACAGATTTTTTTAGTTTTAAAATAAATGAATGGAATCTTACCTCTGTACCTGGCTTCAACAGTCTTAATGCAGCTTGAGAAGCAAAATGTGCAGCTAAAGCTACATCCGCTTTTCTGCCAGTCACTTTCCTCTCTGGTGAAGAACTTATAACAATAGTGTGTGCCACTACAGCTATAAAACCATCAACGTGTGCTCCTAGATCACTACAATCATATAATTTAATCAATCGTGCTTGTTAAGAAAATTGTCAAAATTATTTAAATATATTTGACATGTTAGATCTTAGTAATATAGTTTGTACTTTATTAAATTTTATAAAAATGTATATTTTTTTTAGAAATAAACTTACACTTTAACCATATCTTCATCCTTGAGAAAAAGATCGGGTTCACTAGCAATGGGCGAGAAGTGACAAATGCAATTATTGACTGATATGCATGTTGGAAAAGCAATCCCTTTTTTAAGTTCTTTCTCCTTTTTGAAAACTTTGCTAGTTTCTTCTATAAGTAGTTTGTCACCAAACTCACATATTTCTCTCACAGATGCTCCAGTGACACATTGGTCTACAACTTGCTTCAATATTCCTGCAAAATATATATATACAATATATAAATGTAATTATAAAAAAAATGTTACATGTAAAATATTTAAGCTGATATCAACAAAAAAAAGTTCTTTATAGAAGCTACATTTTTCACAAATATTAAATTTGCATATGATATATATGCTAACCCGAATAATTATTTAATATATTACAAAGTTGATATATAGGCTGTGTTCTAAAATTCATTATAATATATGCAAATTATAGATTTCTAGTAGCGACACAGTAAATTTTAAAGTACAATAGAATAGAAAAATTAATATAATTGAAATTATAATACTAATTTTCCTATTCTACCACTGTGCTCCAAAATATAATATAACTTTAATTATGTATATAATTAAATAATTAATATATAAATAATATATAAAATATAATATATATAATTAATATATAAAAATGAATATATAATTAAATATAATTTAAATAAAATACACATAAATGTCATAATTATATACAAACTCCTAAATTAATAAAAACATACCATACGTTATTATCTTGAAAAAATGGTACAAGCTCGCAAGCCAAGAAAATAAGTATATTTGTACATAGATCAATTAGCACAAGATAATTAAATGCAAATAATCCATAATTCACACGTTACATTATATTTATACATACATAACACATTATATTCATCTACTTGGTGCGAGATAATGAAAAAAAGGAGTATGCAGACATGTGCAGAGATACCGTGCAGCTGAAATTGCACGGATAAGCAAAGGGACGGAATATTTGTGCATTTCTTGAAAAATAATTTTTTTCTTCTCATCGAGGAAAAAAACGCTCTCGGAACTTGTGTCGCGGAGGCGCCAGGGGGACTTTTAATTAAAGCCTAGCACATGGCTGCGAAATAGCCCGGTATTGGCGCGCCGAAATTCCATATGGCGGATAGTGAGAAAAAAATGCGCGCGCGAGCCAGGTCCCCGATTACGGGGGGCTCGCGCGACCACGAGGAAGAGTTTTCTTACGGTTTACGATCTCGCCGGCCATTTTATACTTGGTGACAACCAAGTCCTCGGCGATGGTCTTCTCGGTCTCTTCCTTGTCCGCCATGTCTTCGGCACACTACCCTCGCGGTCACGTGACTCCAACAGCTCCTCCTACGATTCTCCTCACGGCTTCGGTTGCGAAAACTGTGCTATGGGCGAAGTGAAATGGGTAGATGGGACTCTTCTTCGAGTTGGGCGCGTTCCTTTGGGGAGATTTCCCCTGGGGTACTCTTCTAGGGATTTTTGGGGGAAATTCTTTTGACCAATCGGAGCGAAGAGAATTGACAGTTGATTGGTCAAAAATATAAATATGTATTATTATAGAAAATTATTATACTTGTTATTTTTTTATATTTGTTGTATATTAATATTATTATATATTTTATTTCAATAGATATTTATATATATATATATTATATATTAATATAATTATTATATATATATATATATATATATATATATATTGAAAGCAATCGCCACCGATCGGCTGATTGCGCACGCGCCGATACGACAACTAACTGTCCCCGATAACTGCTGCCCTCGGCGATAAGCGTATAGGGCGCAAACTAAAGCGGCGCGCGCGGGAGAGTCAAAAGGGTATTAAGCTAGCGAGCGGAAAGGCCCGGGACTCTCCTTCGAGCAGTATACCGAAAAAGATAGTTGATTTTGTATACGGGAGTCTTTCGTAATAAATAACAGTCTTTGTCTTCAAGTGAATATTTTGTTGAGTGACTTTCAAACACCTTTCTCGAACCTTCGTACTTTCCGCGCTTTCTAAGAACAGTTGAAACTTTTAACGGTCATCCGTAATTAAATTCTTCTTTTAATAATCTCGATTTCTTACAATATATATATTACATATTATTATATAATATATTATCTTATATTATATTATATTATATATTAATATTTATTTATAATTAATAATTATTTATTTTTATTTTTTTATTGAATTTCTAGATTCCAAAATATTATCCAGATATTTTCTAGGAAGAGATTATCTGTCATATAAACTAAAAACATAATTATTCATGTGACAAAATTAAATATACTTAAAATGTAAATATTAAAATTTTTAATATTAAAATGTAATAAGAAATGTTATTTAAAGAAATAAATAAAATAAGGAAAAAAAATTAATAAATAAAATAATAAAATACTATTTTGAATTGAAAATAATTTTATATATATATATATAGTATAGATTAGTTTTTCCAGGGCCCTCTACTTCAATAATAATAAAAAATTATATATAAAATATAATGTAGATTACAATATCTATTAAAGTTAATATAATTTTTAAATTTAATAAAGTTTATGAAACACTTTTACTATACATCTGTCTAATATATAAGACCATAACTTTTTAAACTATTTATTATAAAAAATGAAAAAAATTACATATTGAAATTATATACAACAATACTGTAATATAACGCTTTAATAAATCCAATTGATAAGTTCAATCTCTCAGCGCTATTATAATTATTTTTTGGCATCTGAGGCTTTCCACCAATTTTACAGTAATAATCTTAAAGATAGTTACATCAAATAATTTTGTCAAATTAATTATTTCAAATCATTATACACTTTTCTTCATATAGTTTCATCTTCATTAATTATCAATGATGTTAGTTGTTGCTACATCATAAGAGAAGAACTCTTCTATCTCGTTCAAAGTTTTCAATATAATGGTTTTAAAAAGAATTTTGCCCAGTCACATTCTTATTAAACAGATTATAAGCACCAGTTATAAATTTATCCGTAACTTTAAACAATAATACATAGTAATGATTTTAATTATAATTGTTACATATTGTTATAAAATTCTGTAATGCAATTATCTTGCATTACAGAAGAGGTAACAATAATATACATAACTGATATTGTATAAAAAATGTTTTTATTTTGTTGTCATATGAAATGTAATGTGAATAAACTGAATAAAATATTACAAAATGTGTTATTAAGTCAAGATTAAATGAATTAAATCTCAAGAGATATAGGTCACAGTAATTATTTTAAGAGTAATTATTAGTGGCTTTCTTTCGTTTTTTTATATATACATAGAATAATATATAATTCCTTCGACCTTATAATTTTTTAAATTTAGTCAAGGAATTCATTTTTAAATGCAAATTGATGCACAAATATACATCTTAGTTTATAATTTATAATAATTTATATATGTATACACATGGACGCATGTAATTTTATATATATATATATTTAAATTTTTTTTCTTATTAAATGCAAGAAAAAAAAATATATTTTATGTCATGCTTCAGAATACTATTCCATTTTGCTACAGTGTTTTGCTTAATTAAGGAACTGACTAATAGCTTAATAAAAATATTCAGTATTATGGTGCTTTTTAAATAAACAGTCGAATTTTGAAATGTTCTTAAAAAATGTTATGTAATATAAATATATTCTCCTTCTCTCATTACGAATTCAACAGAATATGCTTTAGCCACATTGCAATATTTACCATTCACTTAATATTTACAATATTTTATACCTATATTTTATATCATAGCTTAATTTGAAAAAATCCATTTATGCTGTTTTTTTGAATGCACTCTTATATAATGAAGCAAAGATTATTTGTTTTCTTATAAGACCAGCACAAATGGAGATAATGTTTTCTTTTATGTATTTATAATGCTATCAAAGATGGAATTCTATCTAATCACATAATTAAGTAACCTTTATAAAAACTCTCAATTTCTTCGGAAATAGAAAATCGAAGGTTGCATCCAGCCACCTGCAATTTTGAACGCTAATGCAGTCGTCATCGCTAATACTATGTACGCTGACAAAAGACTGGCTGCGTATGCCTGGTAACGATTGAACAAGGTCATACACGAGACAACAGATGCGTTCCAACTACCCAGACAATGTGACCCCAATTTCTTTTGTCCAGCGCGGAGAAGAAGATGACGCCCAGAATGTGTGTAACAGAATGAAGCACAATGTGGTGGCAGCTGATATAATGAAGAAGTATTCCGTGCCTTGCCAG